CCGCTCAGTTCCCCGTCCTCCTCCCCCTCCTCCCTTGGGAGCCGCGGGAAATTATTTATTAAAACACCGCCCGCGCTCTCATTTATTTGCGGTGAATAATCCTAGGCATCTCGGCGCGTTTATTAAACCTTTCCCGTCCCCGCGCCCGCATTACTTTAATAATAAATCGCGTGTCACTTTCCGGCGACATTATTAAACCCCGTCCGCCGCAGCGGAGGCGGGGTGCGGGGAGGATGGAGGCGGTGGGCCGCAGTGCGCACTTCCACTCCAGGCTCCAAACCTGAGCGCGGCGGAGGGGGAAACTGAGACAACTCCCGATGGAATGTGCCGACGCCACAGGTTCGGGTTTGGGCGCAGAGCCAGCCTGTGCTGAGGTGGGTGAGGGGCAGGCAAGCCTCAGAGGCACCTTGGAGCCCCACAGAGCAGAAAACAAACAAAAAAAACAAAACAAAAAAAAAAAAAAACAAAAAAAAAAGCAGGGACCCAGACCCAGGTCCCCTCTCGAAGGGTAGAGCCGACCTTCTTGAAGTCACTCAGCAAGACGGCCCTCACGCCCGCTCGACCCAGACAGACCCTTCCACTCTCCTACTCCCTTGCAGTTCGCTGCAAGTGCTCGGCCCAGGCAGCACGGCCCGTGCACGAACACCGGGACCACCGTGCAGAAACGGTTGAAAACGCAGTGCATACAGGCCCGGAGGGATGGCCAGGCCCCGGGCCACGCCTCTCCCAGGGGGCCCAGCAGCCTGCGCTGGGTCCCACAATGCTAATGCAGACACTGAGCCAAGAGCCGGCCCTCCCCGCGGTGGCGCCAGCTCCGGGCGGAACCCAGGCGCGTAGGAGGTTGTCGCTTACCACACACAGCATCTTGGCCTGATGACTAACTCCAATTTACCCTTAGACAATTTCATAAACTCCTCAGTGTCTCCGGGCTAGGCACAGAGAATGTAAGAAGAGACTTAGGCCAAAGAGCGCTGTGGTAAAGGACTTCAAATAAGATAAGGCAGTTCACAACTGAGACAGTTGGAAATAGGATACTACGACTTTGGGTTCAACTGGGACTTGGGAAGGGAGCAGAGGAGGGGTGTGGCTAACACGGGTGCCCCAACCACTCAGTGTAAGCATTCATTTTGGGGTCCCACTCGCATAGACCTGGTTCCCCACTCTGCCTGGGGAGGAGGAACACAAGAATAAGGACTGATATATAGGTAATCTATCCCTATACCAACTGGGTAGGAGGGTGGGGCTTGGGGAGATTGAAGTAACTGTGGTCCTCCCTCCAACTAGACTCCCTCCTTAGAGGACAGGAGGGGGCAGTATAGGCCTGAGCTCAAGCCTTCTCTCACAAAGCAGGCCTGTGTTTAGGGCTTGCAGTCCTGAAGTAGGAGGCCACTCAGGGGTGTCCGGTCTCTATGTGCATATCGGTGAGAACTGTTTGCAGCAGTGTGGCTCAGTTTGTCTATATTTTTTATTACTGCCCACTGTGTCTAGTCATATGCTAGGTGGGCTTTGTCCACTACAATGGTTCAAGACATGGGGTTGCCCCACCCCTCTCGCTGCACTGAACTGAGTTAGTCCCACTGTGCTCACACAAGAAAGGACTGTGGTTAGTAAGTGCCCTAGGAACTCGGTGAGGTGGAAAGCTTCTGGGAGATGGGTTTGGAGGAAAGGCAAACTGAGGCTACAAGGAGCCTCAAACAATCCATGAGAGGACGCTGCTCGCCCTTTCCAGTCTTCTCCACAGCTTCTCCACAGCAGGGGTGGATACTCTATCCACACACCCTCACTCCCAAATCAGAGATCTGGACCTAGTAGTAATCCTCTTCACTTTCTGCCTCCTCCTCAGGAACCAGATTCATTGATTGCAGCTGGGAGAACCCTGTGGCGTTCAGCTGGTCTGCAAATGTGATACAGGGAAAGATCAGAAGAGACCCTGATAATGCAAACACAGCTCCGTGTGTGGAAGGCTATGCTCACTGTGTGCAGCATTCACGTGCAGACTTGCACAGCTCCTAATACACCCCTTCCTCCTGGTGCCCAGAGCTCAGGGCTCCCTTACCCACTGTGAGCACTGTCAGAGTAGCAGAGGCTTCCACTTGGCCAAGGGCATTCCGGGCAAGGCAGCGGTAGGTGCCCTCATCACTAGGCCGCAAAGCCTGAATCTGTAGCCAGCCAGTCACCTCAAACTTCTGAGGTCCACCCCTAAACTGGAGTCAGATGTGTTATCAGCCAGATGTGTTGTCATCTGGGGCAGCCCTAGGTTTTCCAGGAGTTTGCCCCTGCTCCATGCCCCTACCTGTACAGAGATATGAGGGTCATCCCCTGGCAGCTGGATGTCCAAGCCATCTTTCCTCCACTCGATGGAGGCCATGGGATAGGCGAACACCTCACAGCCAAAGATCACATCCTGCCCGGTCACATTCCAAATATTGTGAGGCTGAGACACGATCTGGGGTTCTGGAGCAAGGGGGTGGAAGGGTGAGGTTTGAGAACAGGAAGCTGTACCCAGCGCAGCAAAAACACAATTTACAAACTCATGTGGACATGTTTAGGGCAGGACACAACTCATGCGGAGGTCAACACACATCTGCAAAGAAAACATGCCACGAGCACAGATAGAGACAAATGGCGGTGCAGATCCACACAAGAACACACAAGCAGGCACAGAGATGCACAAGTACACAGAGCAGTGGCAAACTGCACAAACACGCCTGCAGACCAATAGCTTAGCTGAGCAAGCCACACACTGTCCTGGACTGCTCCCCTGTCCTCACACCACCCCGGGGGGCCCTTTCCTGCGGGCTATGTAACCAATACCTCTCCCCGTTTCTAACCAAGCCCAGTTCCTAAAGGCCTGAAGAGCAGCCACATTCCAAATGTCGTGAGAATGTGACACGATCTGGGCCCTGAGCGGGTGGAGATGGGACAAGTGCCGAGGCAGGGGAACCTGAAACCACCTTGTGGCACCGGGGAAAACGGTCAGGAACCCCTGCTGCCGCGTTTGTTTTCATTGCAACTCCAGCCCAACTAGACTTGATTAGGTAGAGGCTGAGGAAGTGAGAGCCGCCAAAGAAAATCCCAGGCTTGAACATACCCCAACCCCAACCCCAACTCCAAGGACGAGGGGCGAGAGAAGCAAGTAGCCATCTTCCTTCACTAATCCCTAATGCAAGAGAAAAGGGATAGGAGGGAGCCAGGGTTAACAGGCTGTGTCTCAGGATCCCTCTGCCAGGGCTCCTGCAGCCTGGAGAGTGTCTGGTGGGGGACGGGGGGGGGAGACGGGGGG